AGGTGCTCAAAAAATTTTGCTAAAAATGGCCAGGAAAAAATTTTCTATTTTTATAATTTTTCTAAAAAATGATACAAATTTTTATGTTGCATATATAGAAATTTGAAGTGATTCCAATTATCTTTGAATTTTAAAATAGCGAGCTAACGACCAAAGATTATTATAGCCTTTGGCCAAATTTTGTAAGAAATGGCTAGAAACTTTTCAGATACACTTACACAAACTTATGTTGTGTAGAAGACTACAGCTGATTCCAATAAAAATTAGACTTTTTATGAATGTTCAAAATGCAATGTACTGTATTGTAGTAATTGTCAGCTCATAATACTCATGCTGTATGCTTAGCTCACTTAGCATGCTTTGTGGGAAAACCTCCAGTCGGACATAATTAATTATTGGTTATTAACTTATTATGATAAATTTCTTTTAATAATCAATTATAAATTAGATCATTATTTTAAAATTATTTTGTTCAGGCAAAACGGTAGAACAATACATAATTTGACTGACTATTAAGCAAAATTGTCAGAAAATGTCCAACTCTAATTTCAGGCTTGATAATAGTCTTATTTTGATACAAGCACATATACATGTAGGACAACACTTGAAAGGATGGGATTGTGTATGGAGGGAAAGAGAAAGCAAGAAATTTAATGTACATGAAAATAGACAAATAAAATATACATGTAGAATTTAAATCATTGGTTTTGTGTTCATTTATATGTACATGTACATGAGTACAAAATTCAATTAGGTTGTCACGACTAAAGATAACATACATGTACATGTACAATATAAGTGGAGTATCCTTCATGCATGATCAATTGTGCTTGTCACCTATTACAAAAGCTTTACATTATATTTTGGCTTTTACATAATTTTAGCCTTAAATTTAATACATACATGTACATGCACATAATGCAAACAGGTGATAAACACTTACCCACATTTTTAATGTACCTTCTTATAATAAAATTTGACCAAAAATAGAACTTCTGAACTTGACTAAGATCAATAACTACATGTGGAATAATTCAAAAACAGGCAATCAAACTCTCAACAAATCACAAAACACTCATCAACATATCACTCCCAAATATCAACAAGACTTAAACTCACAAAATGAGCAAAAAGACACAAAGCAATCAATCAGGGATCATATTCTTCATTGACACTGTAAGAGAGAGAGAGAGGAGAGGGAGGATGAACCTGTGAGAGACATACAGTAGGAGGGAGACAAACAAGAGGAAGAATACAGGAAGAGAAACAATAGATTAGTCAGGTCAACCAATTAGAGCTCTATTAAAGTGCGTGAGAATAGGGTAAAGGACTAAAGAGCATACCATCAAGTGGTCACGTTTTAAATCCGCCATTTTATTTTGATTCATGATACGTCTGCATGTGAAAGGAAAAAGAGTGTTGGATTGGTCATGATCTTCCTCCTTTACGAGGGTCAGGCCCTCCTGACTAATTCAACTCCAGCTGACATCAACGTAGACTAAGGACTGACCTTTTGGCTAAATAATTAAAATAGAATAGACAAGTGGGATGTGATGGATTAAAAACTATTGGTTATTATTCTTTATTATATAGGTATGTGTTACTACTTATTGGTTGTATATGTGTATCATTATCATTTGAATTATTAGTTGTATGTGTATTATTGATTATTAGTGGTGTATATGTATTGTGGTTTGACCTTAGACTAATTT